ACATTCAATTCGTATGTTCTGACTTGCGCTCCTTGGAAAGAAAAAAAACGAAGTATATCGATTAGGACGAAATTATAAATAAGACTGGGATTCGTGAAATTCTAGAGCCTTCCCCCATGAAGTAATGCCTAACGAGGGTTTTCAAAGGGTCAAGACACAAGTGGTAAGGTGTCACCCATTAATCACGTGACCCCTCTCCCCCTTGCCGAAACTTCGTGATATTTAAAATTAACCCCCCCCCCTCTCCAGCACTCAACATTACGTGTATTTTTAGTACCAAGAGAAAAAAAGAAATTTATATTTTTTTTAAATTCGTGATTTCTTGTTCGTTCATTGTGATTCATTTCGTGATTTTTTGTTAACCCTCCCTTTAAAGCTCACGTGATTAATAGACGCCCCCTAAGTGAAAGTTTTAGTAGGTACTATTTATAATGTTTCCTACTTATCCAGACAAAAGGCCTAGTAAAGCATGCGCAAAAGCAAGTTCTGTACTGAAAATCGATTTTTTCCTCAAAATCAATCGTTTCTTCAACACAAGCAGAAAGTTTTTTGAATCATTCAAACCGAAAAACTGCCATTTTTTGCACATTTAGCTCGGTATCTCCGAAACGGCCGGACCTGCCTTTACCAAAACTAATCACCACTTTCCTCCGTCATTACGACTTTAAAGTTTTTTAGATCATTCAAATCGGATGCTCCATTCTCTCAAAAACTCGATTTTTATTTTCTGCACTCTTTGCTCCATATCTCCGAAACGGCTGATCCTGCCTTTGTCAAAAACTAATCAACACTCATCAGTAGGAATCGAATGTTTTAATTTGAGTAGGAACCGAGCCATTAAAATCGGTTAATCCGTGCGCCCGAAAACGTGGGCAAAAAATTTATCCATACACACACACACACAAATGTTCAGAAACCTTTAAACGTGAAGAAATGTAAAAATTTTCAATTTCGATTTTTGAATGATTACAATAACATACCCTACGGGAAGTTAATAATGGAAAACAATTTTGAAATAGAGCAACTAAAATGTGCTTCTCTCGCCTTAGGGCTTCAGTAAATAAAATTCTCATCAGGGTCTAATCAAATTAATATTGATAATAATAATAATATTGATATTATTCGATTTTTGATGCTAATATCTTTTGAGTAAATATCCACAAACTCCTTCTCAGTGATCTACACAAAGCAAAACAGTGCAATTGGTACAAGTGCTCCTGTGGATAAAATATTACATTTATCCGAGTGCACAGAAGAATCCCTCCGGCATATTTCTATATAAACTATTAATATAATATGCAGTTCTAGACAAGCTGATATGTTAACGTTTTTAATGCTCATAATACGCTTAAAAACATTCTCTTCTCCTCTTTCTGATAATAATTACTTATTATATAATTTATGGCTTCGGTTTTCTTATAGTCTGCTCAACCTGAAGCTTCGTAATCGTAACGTAGACCCAATTTATGGATTTTGATAGTTTTTCTACTTACTAATCTACAATGTAAATTACAAAAATCCAATCTACAAGCCTACAACTACTACATCGATCTATTCCCAATATTTTATTTTATTACTACGCATTTTTGCGGTCATAACATATCGGAACGATGCGGTTGAAATTAAGGAAAAAATACGGTAAAAATATTATATGGTATTGACAAAATTTTTGTGTTAATTTGGTGGTATCGTGTAACACAAAACCAACAGAAGTGGCTGCTGCAGGTCGTTACAAATGTCAGTCAGTCAGTCGTTGTAAATCAAATGTGATGGAGAAGACGTCAAGAAATGCAGGAGAGAGAGAGTCTGTGACTTCTGGGATACCTCATTGTGTCATGTGTTGCCAACTTCTGATATAAATCAATTCTGATTTTAAAGAAACAATAGTAATGGAAAAAAAAAAAATAAATCAATAAGCATATGGAATTATGTGGTTCTTTTAATTAAAAAATACTACACACATTTTTTGAACATTTGATATTTCAAAGTAATCAAAATTATTAGAAATTTATAAGACCATTGTATTGCAAATATTAAATAAATATGATTTTTATTTATTTTGACGAGAAAACTCTTATAAGCTTCTAATGTGAATTTTGATATTAATTTGAGTTTTAGGAATTTTTAGGTACAAAAATCAACAAAATTCTATATCATATTAGGTAAATTTCTATAAAAATCCGCGTACTTTGAATGCCAAACTGAATTACATATTTTTGGGCATTTCTAGTATCTAACATAACTCTGAT